CTGCGGTGGAGGGTGGGGTGGAAGGGCAGGTGGCACCCTGGAGATGGTGCTGGGGGGAACCGGCTTTTAAGCTGGCTGCCCCCAGCACTGGCTCAAACATTCTGCCCCCTCCCCCCCCCCGGGGGGGTGGGATGCTGCAGGGAGCACAGGGTGAGCAGGGACTGCTTGAGTCCCTGCTCACACCATTTTCCTGCTGTAACTCTGCCTCCCCTGGGGACTATGCTATGGGGGGGACCTGTTTTTTAAGCCGGTTCCTCCCTGCACCGGTGCCTGTTTCTCCCCCCTCTACCCCACCTCTGATAGAGGCAGCAAGAGGGGGAGAAGCGACTAGACGAGTCACTGCATGACTATCCGATAAGCAAAAGCTTATCAGTAGTGGACTAGTCACTTATATCCTTAATTCTGATGGTAGCGGTTTTCAAGGTAATAGATTATAACCTGATAATTTCCAGAGTTCATGAGGGTTATTTTAAATCTTCTTCCACTGTTTGAAAAGGAGTTGGGAGAGAGGAAGGAGAAGGTGAGTACGTTTTTTTGTTTTGTTTAAAGTGTAGTCGTATGCACTAACTCCTCTATAGTGGTGGGGGCACCCAGTATCTACAGCTTCAGTTGACATCTTGTGAATTTTGCATTCTAAATTCATTGTGAGGTCTACAACTCAGTGTCATCTATTCACTGAAACTTTGAGTGCAGTATGTACAATTGCACACAGCCTAGTTATAAGAGGCATGCTGTATGCTAATTAAATCTGTCTTTTACAGATTCCTCCAAATAAAATAGACTATGAATATAGTGAACTAATCCTATACCAGAACCAGGTGATGAGAGAGGCAGATTTATTTCAAGAGTCTTTAGAACATATAGAAACTTATGAGAAGCAAATATGTGACAAGCTTGTTGTAGAAGAAATCAAAGGTAAATCTTTTTCCTCTTCCTACCCACCTTGTACCAAACCAGAATTGTCTAGTGGCTTTATATCTAAACATGATCTCAAAGTGAGGGGTATATGGAGATTCTAAATTATTCAGATATTTGTTTTATGAGTACATTTCAGATCTTTAATTGGTATATTCTCAATAAGTTACTTTGACAAAGTGGAATTGTTAGTGCCACACAACGGGTGGGGCTGAGGGGCAGCATTGTTTTGCTATGGAATTGAATAGCATTCCTTATTCTCTGTGTCAGTAGCCTTCTGATATAAAAGACAGGCCACTAGTCTGTGTATGGTAGATTAAAACTGATAACCCACTCATCTACTTAGTCCAGCAACCAAGAAATCTAATACCCTGTGCATATAGAAATGTTGGCTTCATGCTGGGAGCATCAGGTTGAGGTTTCTTTTTTTTAAATACATCAATGCCTTTGTATTAGCATGATGTTTTTAGCAGAAGTAAATATTCATTGTTCAGTTAAAATTTATGCATAAGGGTTCTTTAAAAACGTGGACTGCTGAGGTTCTGAATAATGCAACTGTGTGACAAACTGATTTAAAATATCCCTTAACTAGAGGATTTAGTCAATGTTGCCTGGGTCCTTGTGGGGGATCAGGGCAGGGAGTAAGGTTGGGGGGGATCAGGGCAGGGTATGGTAGGTGCAAAAATCAGGAGAGAAGATGGGTGGTGCAGAGGCTGGGGTGCTTGCTGTCTCCTTGTGGTCATTCATAAATATAACTCCCTGCTATCACACCCCTCCTTTTTCATGCATGTCCCATTGTCCTGGCACAACCAAACTCTGACCTTGCTTAAGTTAGAAGAGTAAACTGCATGCCAAACTTAGTGGTCCTAGGACTTACTGTTAGGACAAGTTCTTGAACAAAAAGATTTACAGGCGGACACCCAGGCAGATGTGCGCGCACTCAAATATATAGTAGATTTGGTAAGATGTCTATCAAAATTAACTCTGATAGTGACCAGATGGTCTTGAAAATATGTTCCTTGAGGTATGTCCTGGACAGTTTAACTGAAGTGCTTTGAATCCATTTTGTGGCTACAGCTATGAGCTGGGAGCACTCTGAGCATGCTGCAGCTCTTTCACAGTAACCCCATTGACTGCCTGTTGCCAAACAAAAGGGAAGAGTATTTTTGACTATTCTATTGCCTGTGCTTTTCTGCATACCTGCCAACGGATGCGTTTGGTTTGCCAGCTCTCCTGGTTTTGCCAGGAGTCTCCTGGAATTGGACTCATCTCTGAGGTGACAAGCAAAACTAGGGAGATTTTAGGCTGCCTAAAAGTCTAGGAACTTGGGCCAGTGGGAGCTGCAGGTATGGTATCCAAAAGAAAGCAGACTCCCCTGCCCCTTTTCACTCCATGGACTCAGGGATGTGCCAGCCACTTCCTGGAGTGTCGCAAGGCCAGGGCCGGGCTGCCTAAGAGAGCACCACCTGGGCAGAGCCCACACTCCAGTCCCTTTCCCCAGCGTTGAGCCCCCTTATGCACCAAATTCCCTCTCAGAGCCCATGATGGATTGAGGAATGAGTGGGGTGGGACCTTGGAGAAGACGTAGGGTAGGTGGTGGGAGCAAGGATGTTTTGATGTGAAAAGTTAGTTGCCAACTATAGGATAGGCCTTTTATCTTTAACCAAGGTGGTTGCTCTAATTTGTGCCAGTAGGCAACAGCTCCTTAAGAGATCATCCATCATGTGGAGATAGGATGTGTGTGGGGGATTGGCATAAACACTCATAAATCCTGTTGTAAGGTATCTACAAAAGGAAATAGAGGTGAAGTTTCTGAGAACTTTAACTCTGATTTTCTGAGTATGACACTGTTAAATTGTGAACTTGAGGCTTCATCAGTATCGCTTACATGGAGTTTGAAATGCCTGTTTGGGCTAGCTAATAAAAACCCATTAAGTTTAATTTTTTCATATCTGGATAAGTGTCATAAAACTAAATATAGGCATCTAAACAAAAACAATTTTATGTTTCAGAATGCTTGAATCCTCTCAAATCCCTGCAAGGTCATTGTAGGGAGAGTCACTAAGTGGGATTTCTGGATTGAGAAACCTCTCTGAAAATCAGCCGCCACTTCTTTTTTGTTAATGTCTACATTAAGGATGTTAAGAAGCATGTAATTGACTAATTGTGTAGTCAATTCAAATTGTATCAACTGCACTATTAGTTGATAAGGGGAGGTACTCTGTCCTGGCTCCTGCCAGCTCCAGGAGCTACCCCCTCTGTGCCTCTGCAGTTTATATGTAGTAGGAGCTGGGCACACAGGCTGCCTGGCTCCTACTACATTTAAACTGCAGAGCCACATAAGAACAGCAATACTGGGTCAGATCAAAGGCCTATCTAGCCCAGGTATCCTGTCTTCTGTCAGTGGCCAATGCCAGATGCTCCAGAGGGAGTGAACAGGACAGGGAATCTTCAAGCAATCCTTCTCTTGTCACCCATTTCCAGCTTCCGACAGAGATTAGGGACACCATTCCTACCCATCCTGGTTAATAGCTATTGATGGACCTAACCTCCATGAATTTATCTAATTCTTTCTTGAACCCTGTTAAAGTCCTGGTGTTCACAACCTCCTCTGTCAAGGAGTTCCACAGGCCAACCATGCGCTGTATGAAGAAAAACCTTTCTTTTGTTTGTTTTTATACCTACCTATTAATTTCATTTGGTGACCCTCTAGTTCTTACGTTATGGGAATGAGCAAATAACTTTTCCTTATTCACTTTTTCCACACAACTCATGATTTTATGGACCTCTATCATTACATTGTGATGTTTCTAAAATTTTCATAGCAGATGAGGAAGGGTGATGTAGTGCACTGACAAGTGAGACGATTGGCTATTGCACAGTGCCAGAGAGAGATGTCTCTGCCCAGGACTGGTCCTGTGCATGCCTCACTTCAGGGGCTGCCTCTTCCTTAAAGCCCTAGCCTGGCTAGGAGCCACAGTGGTGACGGTGGCAGCAGCAACAGCTGCAGCCAGTGCCAGGCGCTGTCATCCATAACACTTCATCCTGTGGGGCTGACTGGATTTAGCTGAGCCCCTCACACTGCCCGAGGCAGCAACTCCATTGGAGCCTGCACCTCTTGCAGCTCAGCATTTGCCGGTGCCCAGGGCTGGCAGGATGTTACTGGATGTAGTGTGCGTGATGCTGCCTGACTTACTCCTGGGTGTTTGGCCAAAATAAAGTTGTATTAGAGATTTTTTTTCCCCCTGTAATGACAGCATTTAGTATCCATTCCGTGACCGTACCATCGCATCCACTGTCCTCTGTTCAGGGGGTTCACTCTGGCCATATTCTGTAATTGTAGGAGAAACCCTATCTGTCTGTCTGTCTGCACTCAAATTCATTTGTCAGAAATAACTACATAGCCACTGTTTACAAAGTGTTTGGGACCTGACAGACATTGCCAAGTACTCCGTAGGTAAACTGCAACTTTACTTCCTGTCTGTTAGCCACAGTGGCCTCTCCTTTTGTTTGTAAGCCATAGCAGGACTAGGTCCCAGAGCCAGCGCAAGCTGGAACTGAGCAGTCCCAGTTTATGCCGGGTCCCGGACCGCTGTACCTCTTCATTCTAAATGTAGTAAGAACCAGGTCCGGCAGGTCCTGTCTAGGCTGAGACACTGTGAGGACAGAGGCTGCTGCTGCGAAGCAATTCCTGTCTGCTGTGGCCTGGGCTGGCTGTGAACAGAGGCTGCTTGGCAGCAGCCCCCTGTCTGTGGGATGGTGAACAGCCTCTGTTTGCAGCAAGCCTAAGGCCAGCTGCTGGCAGAGGCTGCTTCGCAGCAGCCTCCCCTGTCCTCCACACCTCTGCACTGTGGAGATGATCCTGTGGGGAACCGGCTTTTAAGCAGTTTCCCCCAGCACCTGCTCTGCTTCCCTTTCCCTGCTTTGATACAGAGGCAGTGGGAGGGCGGCAAAGTGAGTAGTTGACGCAACTAGTCGCTTGCATCCCTAGTCTAAATATGGCTAATGGGGCTAGTTTCAGGTGCCCAGTTTTGAATATTTAACCTCAATTCATAAATATACTTTCATTTAACTCAAGCTGATGTTGAATTTATTGTTGTAGGAGAAATGTTGTTGAAATTGGGAAGATTAAAAGAAGCTGGGGAAGTATATAAAGAATTAATTGATCGGAATGCAGAAAACTGGTATTATTATGAAGGCTTGGAAAAAGCCATACAACCTAGTAAGTAATGCTGTAATGTACTTAATTTCCTAATTGGTATTTTAACAATTGGTGTTTTGGCAGAATGTTACAATTTGAAATTGAACATCCCAAATTCAGATGGAAATATTTGTGTATCTTCTAAATATAACACTTTGTGGTCAGATTTACTCAATTAGAAACTTACTAAAAACATCTGTACAACAGAGGAGGGGCTGCACCTCCACTCTGCATCCCCCCTCCTTCCCTCAGAGGCAGAACCTCAAGTGGATGGGGCATGAGTAGGAGCTAGCTTTTTCCAGCCAGCCCTTAACACCTCCCAACACTTGAGCAGCCTTTTAAAGGGCCCAGAATAGGGATGTTAAACAATATACCAGTAAGCATGAAGCTTACCAGTTAACTGGCCCCTCTGTCATATGACTACATATAAAAAACCCCTCACACTCCACCTGTATGGCCCTGAGGATGTCATGGGGGCGCCAGCTCTGTGCTAACTGGGCCACAAGTGACCTGCGAGTTAAGAACCCTGACCTAAAAGATTACACTAGTTAAGAGGTTGACGATATTAATGGTTACTATCTGAAGCATTTTGAAACTCACATTTTATAATTATTAATGAAGAACAAATGTGTATATATAATGTACATTTCACACAAATCCTACTGTGCTAATTATAAAACAATAATGCTACTTTATTTTTTTTAGGTGGTCTTAGGACTATTTCCTCCCCCATGGTAAGTTCTGGAGCTCCAACCTGTGACTTTATATAGGGTTTTTATATGCTTTAGTTCCAATTTTAATTTATTACTCTTAGAATTATGTATACCCTGGAGCCAGTGGGTAGCGTGCGTGTGTGTGTGTGTGTTTGTGTACATATATCTATTTCCCCACCACCGCCATCAATCTGAGACGTGACTATTTCAGATGAAACACATGTCCACGTTTAACTACTGAGCATTTTTCATGCTATAGCCTTGATCTTTCCAGTATTGCATAAGTTTACTAAGTAATTTGAGTTTTCAACTTAAATTCACTTATGAAAGTGAAAATAACATTTCAAAACCAATAGATGAGTTTGTTTTAAAGTTTTGACCACATTGGAGCTCCAAAGCATATTATGGGGGAAAGGGGAGGAGTGGGAAGAAAGTCTAAAGAAAACAAAACTTCTTAAACTTGGTGTAATGACAGTTCTTATGCTAAGTGCTTACATAGTATTAGGTAACTTTCATTGCTGCCACTTTTGTGCTAAGATTCATTTATATATTTTAAAATACTTTTCAATGGTTAAATGGTGGTTCTTAAAGAAGTTGTCCTAAGTGGATTTGTATTGACATGTTTGCATCCATTATTTCCAAATATTGAAGTACTGTTTTGTAAATGGGATTGCACAGTATGTAGTTGTAAGAAAATAAACACGATCTCTCTCAGGTTAGCAGCACAACATAATTACACTGTTTATTTACGAAGACCCTGTCTTATGTTGTTACTATATTATATATGTAAAAGATTGCAATATACTACCTTCTTTAGATAGTGTATATGATTAAATGGAAACTTAGTGTAAATTTTTGCGGTGCTGTAACTAAATCTGTACCTTCTGATAGGTTTATCTAATTTAAAGTAAAGATTAAAAGTAATGCATTTTTAAAAAAAGAATGTAATGAAAAAATAGATTTTTTTCTTCAGTGTTTCTTACATCTGTTATATTTACTGATGATAGGCACTTTAGAAGAAAGGCTTCAGATTTATGAAGAAGTTAGTAAAAGACATCCCAGAGCAGTTTCACCTAGAAGATTACCTTTAAACTTTGTTCCAGGTAACAAACTGCATATCTGTTCCATAATGCTATTATTTTTTGTTCTTTTTAATAAAATGTCAATAATTTGTCCAAAATCTGAAATGACCATTCATGGATCAAGGGCATAAAGCTATGCCTCTCTATTGGTATGGACAAAAATGTAAAAAGTACACTACAAAAGCTGACAGCAGAAGATCCTGAATGCTTGTTATTTTTGCCTTTTACTAATTAAACTGCAGCGTATAGCTGTGTATATATTGCAAGAATAGCAAAATACATAATGCCTTTGCTCCTGTGCTGTGTAATGGCTGATGTCCCCCAGATAAGAGTAAGAAGTGTGGTAAGCTGTTGTGTTAACGGAATAATAAATTTCAATTTTTTTTGTGTCTTCAGTTGTTTATACACTTTGCTAACGTTCCTCTCTAGGCTCTTGGAGAAGTCCCATGAGACTGACTTTGTATTAATTCTAGAAAGCTCCCAACCTACCTCAAAGCATTACCTGCTGCAATGTATTGTGATATTTAACGTTGGAAATTTAACTTAATCTTTGATGTAAACTACCATTATTTTACTGTACCTTGCCAGGTTATCTGGAGCTCTGTTAGGTTTGCAGCATTTTCTAGTATGAAGTTTAATTGCTGCGTCATAAGCAGTGGTGCTATAATTTTTATAATGACTTCGTTATAAACATCCCAAAACAGAATGCGATTACACTTAAACAAATTAAAAACTCCTCTGATGAAATTTGGGGCACAAGTTCTCAAGTCTGGAAAAAGATTGAAAAAGTGGTTTTTCCAGTGATTGCACATATGCATTCCATTCTTGGCATGTGTGCACCCTGTGCATGATGGTTGGAAAGTCTCCCCCCCCCCCCCCCCCCGCACTCTGCCACCTTGTGCTTCTGTGAGCTGGCATAAAAAGGCAGAGCTGCCCCAATCTCCCTCATTTCGTTTTTACTACACAGGGTGGCTGCTGGATCAGTTGGTCTTGCTTTAACAGATTTTCTGAGCCTTACTTTTTCTAGGTCATTACCCATTTTTATAGTGTTGATCGTTTAACATTTTTTTTTCCCCAGAAGCTTCGGGGGTAGCCGAGTTAGTCTGTACAGGATAAATTACAAAACAACTAATGGTCTGGTAGCACTTTATAGACTAACAAAAAATATAGAGGGTATCATTAGCTTTCGTGGGCACAGCCCACTTCAAATGACGGGAGACAATTCCCTTACTTGGAGTATTAATTACTATGCTTTAACACTGGTTACTTTTGCTGCAAGATATCATCTGAGTGCCCTGCATGCCTGGATGATTCTTGCATGTTAGACCATTTTCAGATTTATAAGAACTTCAAGCATAGGACCAAAAAGACAGATGCCAAGCTAAAGTTTCTTTTGATGGAAGCTACTATGACACTAGCATTGGAGCTTTCATGCTCAGAAAAGACCCATTTCTTTAGGTTCATTGACAAGTGTTCTGCCAGTGTTGGCAGAGTCCTGGAACCGGTTATGATCAAGTGCTGAGGAAGAATTATTAGGCTTCCATGGAAGAGGAAGATCTTTGGTTCTGAAGCCCACCAAAAAGCAAAATGGAGAATTGAGTAGATTGGGTAAGGAGGCAATGTTGACTCTGGCACTAGGATAGGCAAAGTCTTTGCCTCTACCACCGCATATCATGTGGAAAATCTTGCTCATTCTCACAGAAAACACAATGGCAGTGTTCCACCTCAACAGGCTGGGAAGGATCTCCTTGTCCCAAGTCTGCTGTACGACAGTCTAACTCTGAGATTTTTGTGTTGCCAGTTAGGTTGACCCCGGAGTCTCTTACTTTATTGGGTGCAGAAGGAGCATGCAGACCACCTTAGCAGATTATTTAAATTACAATGAGTAGTCTGTACATCCAAATATAGCCATGTGAATTTTCTAGCTCTGGAGAACTCCATCTGCTGATGTCTGTGTAATAAGAACCACAGGAAGTGTTGGCACATGCTCCCTTAAAGTTCCCTCAGACATTTTCTCGCAATCCTAGATGGACAATCTTCTGTTTCTTCCACCCATTCCACTCCTTCCAGAGTGTTGCTAAAAATCACAGGATTTGCTTTAGTCTTTATGTATAGTCCTATCTTGGTTTCAGAAGCACTCATTCCCCACTCTTTTCTTTCAGTAAAAGCTCTGATATTGCTTTCATTAATTTCTCAAGGTCAGTGATTCTACCCACATGCACAGGCTCTTCGTTTAATGGCCTGGGTTCTTCAAAGCTAAACTTTCAAGAAGAGAGTTGCTCTAAAGAGATTTGGGATGTGCTTTTAAATAGTATCTCTCTCTACTTGACAAAGTGAAAACAATTCTGTCTTGTCAGAACACTTTGGAATCTTGCTGACAAATTCTTTGATCTAGCATATCTTGAATGCTCTCTTACACCTAAAACAAGAGTTGCCTGTTAGCTGCTATGTGGACTTTGTTAGAACTCTCTCAGCTTTCAATCCTCAGGTTGATGATTTCTGTATTTTCTAAAAGGATGTTAAGATTTTTTTAAAAACGTGTGAAGCAGTTATACCCTCACGTGCAAGATCCTGTTCACCTATGGGACTTGAAGTTTGTATTGTCAAAGCTTACGAGACCTCCATTTAATCCTCTAGATGCTTGGTCCTTACAGCATCTTTCAATGAATATAGTATTTTTGGTGGCCGTCAGTGCTAGTAGGAAGATAGATGAACGATGTGCACTTGTGCTCATCCCCTCACCCATGTAAAACTTCCTTTTAATAAGTTTTCTCTGTGTACTTACCCAAAAATTATTTCACGGGGGGATGTATAACTTTCATACCAGCAAAGCAATTTATTTACCAAAGCTTAACTCAAATGATGATGAGGAGCAATTGTAAGTCACTGATAATGAAATGTACATGTGCAATCACTGGAACAAAAAAGGATCATTAACTTGTTTTGCACCTGTAGCTCTTAAAAGTGTGTTGCACATGCCTGTTACAATGCCACCCTCTACTCCTCTGCAGTGGAGATTCTGGCAAGAATGAACTGTGGGACCGGGTGAGTCAGGGATAGCTCTGCCCTTATTTCTGCTCAAAGGGCATACTACAGCAGAGAGTGCTTGACGCGCTCTGACAGCTATCACTCAGGAAAAAGTTGAAAACAGCTATGCACAAGCTACTTGCACAGAGTGAAATGAACATATGCAACACAAATAGTTAATGAATACGTTGGTAACCATTTTTTTATTGTCAGCATAACAGAATAGAAAAGTTATGCTATATTGAAGTCCATAAGATGGAACAGAAAATACTTATGCTTCTAAAGTTCTAAAAGTAGTCCTCATATAAATGTTTAGGGTGCAAAACCTTTACAAATCATAGAATTGTAAAGGGTTTGGTACAATCCATTTGAATAATTAATATTCATTACTCTAATGTTTGTTCAGTGTCTTGTAAATAAAGTGTTTGTCTACACTGCATTTTAAAATCCTAAGCAAGGCTCAGAGCCCAGGTCTGCAAACTTAAGCTTGCATTGTGGTGCTAAAATGAGTAATGTAGACATTTTGACTAAGCCTTTGAATCCCAGAATGGGGAGTAGAACTTCAGAACCTGAGCTGCAGTACCTAGGCTGCTGCTGTTGGTGCAGTAGTGAGACCTTATTCATAGACCTGGGCTCTGAGCCTCACTTGTTGCAGGTTTTAAAACACAGAAGAGATGTTCCCTCTAAGACAAAACTTTTCAACTTTGGAAACTCTGGGGGCCACAATGATACTCACAGCACATGCCAAGGATTGCAGCTGAAGTGTGATTGCATATACATGCAAATAGTTTCTTTCACACTGACGGGCATGAGTACAAAGATTAAGGCAAGACTACACAACATGCAGGCCCCATTTAAATCAGTTCTGCTGATATTAATGCAATATTTACCTGATTTTCACCCATATGACAGCACTTTTAATGAGCAATACCAGTCTAGGAATTTAACTACTAAAACGCGTATCAACAGAAGACCATTATATTGACTATTTTTTTGTTTTGGCTCCCACCCATGGACAACGTGTTGAGCCCTGCATAAACCCAAACTGCACTGCAGGCCGTAAACAAACAGGCTGTGGGCCGCATGCAGCCCACAGACCACATGTTGAATAACCCTGCTCTAAGAGCTATAAGAATTCTCACTGTATAATCATAGAAACCAAACACCAGATATGTTACCTGGTGAATTTGTCTGTCTCTTGTATGAACTTAAATCTTTTCAACTCTGCTTCCATATGGCTGTAATTTTCATGGAGGACCCTTTATGTAGCTCAGATATGTACCACAGCATTGTAGACTCTTCTGTTTTATTGTAAAATTAGCTTCTGGAGGTCCCAGTAGTGTTGAACTTCTGATTTACACTGCCCTGAGGACTAAAGAATCGATCAATGAGATGCATATTAACAATGTTTTTCTGTTCTTTCCTTGCTTCTTGAATGGCCTTGATATACAGGATACATCTACACTGCTACCGGGAGAGTACATATGATCATACCTGTGACTGAACTCACTAAATATAACTGTGTAGCAAAGATCCTCTTCAGTCCCACACGAATTGTACTTGGGTGGCTAGCCAATGCCACTGTTATCAAGCTACAATAGTCTGTTAGCTCTGATACAGATGTGCTCTGGTTGTTGTCTAGACTATATCCACTGTAGTCCAAAAAGAGAAAAATGCATTTAGTTTGAGCATTTGGGCAGGCCATAACTGGAACATAGTTTATGTAAAATCTGTAAGAGAGATATTTGTAATGCTACAAAAATGGTAAAAATAAGAAATCTGAAGTTTCTACTTCAAAGATTTCCTAACACTGAAAATTGGGAGAGACAGCAAATGATCTTCAGATTAATACAATTTAAGATCAGTTTGAGTGTTTAGCTCAGTGTGGTCATCCCTTGAAGCACTGGGGCCAGCTTGAGTATAGTCCCTTATTTTTTTTCCTTTTATTCCTGAAATCTACATATTCCTCTCCTTGATATGCAGCTTCAAAATTATCATTGCTTCACAATAGATTGAGCCAAAAATTAAAGGCTGCTGTTCGTGGCTAACTTAAATCCCACTTTAACTAATTCTTTTCTGGGGCATAGTTATCTTTATGTTCTGCTTGATTTTTAAGTAGCTCATCTTGCAAATTGATTTTGAGCAGCTACATGATGATTTACTATTTATCATGTTTTCAGATTAAATGTTTTATTCCCATAAATAGGACAAACATGAAAATTAAAAAAACCTCATTTGCCTATTAATTACTAGGGATAATTTTCAGTTAATTTCATAAATTTCAATGTGGATGTGTTCTGGAATACTTTATCATTGTACTGTTGAATGTATTCATTTACATGGGAATGGGTGTGGTAATAACAATTAGTTTGCCTCATTCTTAAGCAATACTTGGAATGAACAAAATATAATTCACAAATGGATCAGAGCCAGACTGCTTTTCACTGGGTTACCCTTTCATGCCTTTTTGTTACAAACAAGGAATTGTCATTGCTCTAATTTTTGTGTTTTTCTATGAAGCATTAACCATCAGATGTCAGTGCTATAAAGTTTGATTTGCTTGTTAGTTAATTTCCTTTACGTTTTCACAGAAATCTTGACTCTGCTAATAGAAAGATGTGATAGCACAGGTACTGCAGTTGTGTCCACAAATACATTCAGATAACTAAGTATTTCGGTAACTTTCTCCCACAATATTTTGCTAAAAGATGTGGGAACGCTGACTTATGAAACAGTCTTATCAGTTTCAATTTCTACAATTGATTTTAATGTAGAAAGTCTTAGCCACATATTAGTTTCCTAAGCATAAACATTTCTTTAGGGGAGAATATGACACTTCTGTTTTCTCTCTTAAAAAAAACACCACACATGCACCCAGGAAAGAAATCAAAACATTAGAATGCTTTTCTCTGTAGAGCAGGGCTACTCACCTTTGGAAGCCTTGGGGGCAAATATATGCAAATAGCTTCTTTCACACTGATGGGCATGAATACAAAGAAGACGGCAAGACTACACAACATGCAGGCTCCATTTAAGTCTATTCTTGCTGATATTAATAAAATGCAATATTTACCTGATTTCCACTCATATGACAGCACTTTTAATGAGCAATGACAATCCAGAAATTTAACTACTAAAACGTACATCAACAGAAGATCATTATATTGACTACTTTTTTGTTTTAGCTCCCACCTGCGGGCCGCAAACAAATGGGCTGTCGGCCGCATGTGACTCTTCAGGCCGCGTGTTGAGTAGCCCTGCTGTAGAGTCATTAGGTTGTTGGTGGTAATCCATAGTTGTATAAATATAATCACTAATCAATATACAATACTCAAACATTAAAATACAACCAATTATGCTTTTGTTTCTAGGTGAAACATTTAGAGAGCTAATGGATAAGTTCCTGCGGGTTAACTTCAGTAAAGGCTGCCCACCTTTGTTTACCACTTTGAAATCTTTATATAACAATACAGGAAAGGTAACTTTTAATATTTATTCAATTTTCATGTAATCTCTTCTAAAATATGTAAATGTTATAGATTTTCCTGCAATTTATAAATGGTTGTAATTCAACATTTCCTACTTTGTACTTAGTATGCTGCTTTCACTATAGAATTACAAGGTGATCACTCATCACACAGTAATATGAATATATCTGTATTAAATTTGATTATTTTGACATTTGAAGAATGAGCTATAAACATGTACAGAAGTTTGAAAAGCCAAGGATAAAAGAAGACTTATCTACTAAACCGTATTATTTGTTCTGAGATGCAAATGTGTTAGGGTTATTTCAACCTGTGGTTTATTATGTCTAATATTTTATCAGGTTTTAGTGTCAACTGTTAACAGTTTTGAATTGCAGTTAAGTCGTAGTATATGCTACAGATATTTGTTCCATATGTCAGTCTGTCTAAAGCTTGTGTAGTACAGGTTGCACCTCCCAAAACCAGAATTCTTTAGTTCTGCTGCATCCATGGTCTGGCAGGACCATGGATGTTCATGGATCAGAGAATCTTGGCAGCCTTAGGGGCAGGAGAGCAATCCAGGAGGGGCTGGGCTGAAGCAGCGGGACAGGGCTGGTGACAGCATTCTGTAGCAATGGGGCTGGAGTTGGCAGAAGCCCCCAACAGTGTGCAGCATTGGGACTGGTTCGGGGTAGCCCCTGACCACACAGGATTGGGTTGGTTACAACCTGTGGCAGCGTGGGCTGGGGCCAGATCTCTGGGCAGTCCATGGAAGCGGAGCCCAAGTCCACAGGCTGCCATGGGGCTAGGACTGGACCCTGAACCTTGTGGCAGCCCGCAGCAGTGCGCGGCTGGAGCCTGTGACAACTTGCAGCAGCGTGGGGCCAGAGCCTGTGGCAGCATTGGGCCAGACCTTATGGCAGCTTTTGACAGTGTGGGCTGCTGGAGCTGGGGAGGCAGCGGCAGCAGGGCCAGCAACCAGCAGGCAGCCTGGCAGAGGCTAGAGAGGTTCTGTCCTCCCCTTGAGCTGGCAGAGTTCACCAGCTGTGTGTCAGGGAACCTTTTCGGGTCTGGCAAATTCCCTAATTTGGGATGGGTCCGTTCCTGAGGGTGCCAAATAGGAAATGTCCAACCTGTTTTACATTTCAACAGGTCTCTTTTGATCAGGGTTCAAAAAACAACTAGCTAAATTCATGGTGTCTAGGTTCATCAATGGCTATTTATCAGGATGGGTAGGAATGATGTCCCTAGCCTCTGTTTGTCAGAAGCTTGGAGTGGGTGATGAGGAGGATCACCTGACGATTACCTGTTCTGGTCATTCCCTCTGGGGTATCTGGCATTGGCCACTGTCAGAAGACAGCATACTGTCTAGATGGATCTTCGGTCTCTTATTATGGCCGTTCTTATGTCCAAAAGATTGAGGTGTTATGTTTTGTACTAAAACTGTTTTTCCATGATTAGTTCTTGGTTTTAAAGGGTTGAAGTGGTGTAGTGTGTGTATGTATATATTGGGCAAGTCTTACCTAGTTTGTCACGATTTATCAAATTAAAGGGATACTGCCAGAATATTGGGGGGAGGGAGAGAATATTGATTCACCTCTAATCAGCCTAATTTGTAATA